TCTGAAAAAAAAAAATGATCTGATCAAAACCAATTATTTCTACCCATTTAACAGATAACTGTTTTCTGGCTTCTCAATAATTCAATAAAATTCAAATACCCATTACAAGTCAAGCTGTGACTTTTCTCATTTCTTCACCTTTTGTCAAATTCTCATGACTCAATTTTTATTTTATGCCTCTTTCACTTTTTAGTCAGTTTATTTCTTCAGCCAACTTCCCTAGGCCAGTTCCAAAATCCACATTCATAATTCTGAAAATTCCAGAGTTCCATTTGTAAATTTGTATACCTTAAATGATGCCTGGGTTTAAATATTTTTCGGTCTGCACTTTAATTTACAGACATCAAACTACAGCTTCCCTCAGATTTCCCTTTCTGTCATCCAAAAGCTCAGTGCAAAGGCCTAGGGTCAAATCCCTAGGAATAGAGTGAGGGAGTGGAGGTGTTGGGCACATTTATGGATTACCTTTGCAAACTTTTCAAAAACATTGCCAAGCATGGTGGCATGCTCCTATGATTCCTGCACTTGGTAGGCTGAGGCAGGAGGATCGCTACAAATCTAGACAGTGAGTTCAAGACCAACCTGAACTACATAACAAGACCCTGTTTCAAAACTAAACAAAATTTTACTAATAATCTTTCCCCACATCAGAGGAAATAAAAGTGTTCTAGTCACAGCTGAGAAAGCAAATGTTAATTAACAAATTTGTGAATTACTAGTTCTAGACTTTATTCTTTTTTTGACACAGGGTCTCACTATATAGTCCATGCTGGTCTTGAACTTTCACTATTCCTACTTCAGCCTCCCAACGGCTGGGATTATGAGCATATGCCACCATATTCAATTTAGATCTTTATTCTTTATCCACAAGTGAAGGAATCAATGAAGACAATATGTACATTTCAAACTTGAAGCAAAGGCAACAAAAGTAAAGAAAACTGAATTATACTGAACTTACAAAGTTTTGTACATCAAATAATGCCATCAAGAGAATAAAGAAAATCCACAGGAAAAAATATTTGCATTTCACATTCAAAATATGCAAAGAATTCCTATAACTCAGAAAAAGAAAAAAATCCAAATATTCCATTAAAAAATGAGCAAAAAGGCTTACACAGAAAAACTTCCAAAATATTATACATATATATATATATATATATATATGCACACATATATACATTACAATTACATGTAAAGATGTTTAACAACACTACTCACTAGGGAAATGCAAAGCAAAACTGCAAGATACCATTTCATACCCACTAGAGTTGCTGTAATTAAAAAATGAAAAACAAGGATTGGTGAAGACATTGCTACTGGGAATATAAAATGATACAGTTCTTGTGGAAAAAAGTCAGCAGTTTCTCAAAAAGCTAAACATAGAATTACTATACTACCCTACCAACAATGCCACTCCTATTCAACTAGAAGACCTGAAAATGGAGTCAAGCCAGATACTGGTATATCAAGATTCACAATGGCATTAGTAGTTACACCAAAATGTAAAAACAATCCAAATGTATACCAACAGATGGACAAGTAAACACACAATGCGGTCACACAATGAAATATTTAATCACAAAGAAGATTAAGCTGGGTATGGTGGTGCATGCCTGTAATCCCACCACTTGGGCCGCTGAGACAGGAGAACTGTTTCGAGTTCAAGACCAGCCTGGGCTACAAACTGAGTTCAAGGCCAGCCTGAACTGCATAGTGAGACCCTGTCTCAAAAAAAAAAAGGTTACTGATACACACATAAAATAAAACACAAAAGACAAATATTGAGATTTTATTTGTATGAAACATTTAGAATTGGCAAATTCATCAAGGTAAAAGGACTAGTGGTTTCCAGGGGCTGAAAAGAGGGAAACAAAGACATACTGTTTAAGGGATCCAGTTTGGAATGAAGAAAAATTTTGGAAATGGCAGCAGGGATGCTTGTATAACATTATGAATAGAACTGCCACTGGCTTAAACATTTAAAAATTGTTAAAATGGCAAACCTTACATTACACTTCACAATTTTATAAAATGAAACAGAGTAGAAAAAAAGAGGGAAAGGAAAAACTCTCCTCTGAATGTAGCCTTCGTTTAAATTGATTGCCATGCATAAGCTATGTAATACTGAGCAAGTTATTTAATTTCTCTGAGCTTCAATATAATTTATAAAATAGATGTAATATCTACTTCATTGGGTTGTTGAGGCCTCAGTGGAAAAATTTATTAATCCCTTAGCCCAAGACCTGTTATATAATAACAGAAAAATGGTTGATATTAAGGAACTACTGTTACTCATTAGATAGGTGGCTATAAGGCTGCCATAAATGAATAGCTAAAAGAACTCTATGATGTTCCCAAGATATTCTGAAATAGCCTACAAAAATGGATGTCCAGCATTTGGTTATCTTCCTGTAAATCTGGAAACTTAACATCACCAGGGCCAGTTTTCTTAGAATACCACTGAATGTACAGAATAAATGACATGCTCACCAAGTGAACACTTAACTTTGCACATCACTATTCTCATTAAAGAAGTGAATTTAGAAAATGTCTATTGGTTGTCTTTAATTTCCCCCTACATATTTCTCATTTTAAAAATCATAAGAGATTTAATTCCTTAGCAAATGCCATAGCTAAAATTTTGTTTAGATGTCTGAAGGGCCAACACCTGGATCACACAGACATAATAAACCAAACAACTATGTAGAATATGCTGTTCAAAATGGCAATACAATGGGAAGTTCTAGGAAAATAAAACCTTGGAGAGAACTGTCAAATAATCTTGTATAACTTCTATGATATACCTTTTAAAATTAGGTATTTATAGAAGCAAATCTAAATTCTAGCCAAGGTATGCCTCAAGAATATACTAAATGATTACTCCAATATAGATAAGAATCTTATGATATGAACTAAGCCATTTGTGTATTCTATGATCTTTTGCAAAAATTTCCCAAATTCCTTCAGAAAAGTAATCAACCTAACAAGAAAGCTTTTCTCGATACACATACGATTATGTTCGTAATATTAAAATTCCATGTTGATAACAAAAATTTGCATAACAATATATCCAGGTTAAAACTACTAATCACCATTGTATGTATAAAAAACTAAGGAGGTGTGGCATTTCTTTCTCTGTGCACCTTCCACCAAAAAAAAAAACCATTTAACATGTTAACCTGACACACCCTTACTAATTTCATTAAATGACAATTCTTAACTGTCACAACCATAATGGAGAATAAGGGTTTCCACAATTAAGTTCCAAGAGTAAGCCTTTCATCTCACATCCCATTCCCCACCCAGTTATATCAGAGTCATGCCTTTCAGAAGAAAATAAGTAAGTGTTGTGGTTGGTATCAGTCTAAACTTTTCTTTGGAAAAGTATACCAGTCCAAGAAGTTAATCCTCAAGGTAACTGATACTATAGCTATCTAACTAGATATCACTAATACTAAATTCCCCAAACATGATTTCATATTTTAAAATTCCATACTAAAAATGCTTAAGTCTTTAAAAATTGGTTCGTTTATTACAGAGAAAAATATTACGATTTTAACGTAAGTGCAAAAAAATAAAACTAAACACTGTAACAAATATTCGTGGATACCCTTAATGATCGCCTCAACTAGATGAAGAATCACTCTGATCACCAATTTGACCGTAACCCAAAGCTGTTTTAAATCGGACCCTTATTTTCTACCTTTATTTTCACTGAAGATCTCATTAATGTGCCCCAAGTGACTTATGCTGTGACATGAAATGCATTAGAAAGTAACATTCTCTGGGACTCTTGTTTTCTTGACATTATCTGTCCAGGGTTTTACAGGATACTCACAGATTTTTTAATGAAGTGGCACAGCTAAACATCATGTAATCCAGGAAATTCAACCAAAAAGACGCACACTGTTCATGGGCAGCGCTTAAATGACAGGGCAAGCAACTGATCTAAATGTTAATAAATTAAGAAGTTGTAATCCCTTCTATTTCCCAATTTACTTTAGAAACTTTAAAATATGGGCCACACGTGTTCGCAATCAAACCAACACTGTTTTCTTTGCTGCTCCCGAAAGCTGTTATCTAAAACATTCTAACCTCTACATATTTCTTAATAACAGACTTCAGCGCTTCACAGTAGAATTTTCATTATTCTGCCATATACTACAACTGCCAATGAGCAAATTCAAAATACTCGTCAACCTAAAGCTAAAGTGCATTCTGCGTTAAATTAAAAAAAGAAACTTTTAAAGTACTAATCCTATAATGAGGGACATCAGGACTCTCATAAATACTTTCATCTTACATATTTTCCTTTTACGCAAGACGGATCAGAATTTGATGAGCCCAACCTGGCAGGACATTGGCCCCAAATCCGCCTGTTGTGCAAAAAGTCGCGTTTTACTTGAGGATACCGTTTGCTCTACCCTCAATCTAAAGCTTGGGGCCACTTGAGACTTCTCCAGCCGAGCTCCAGAAACTCCCAGGTTTAAATGGCCAAATTGGAACCAACCAGGGAAGCTGTCATCTGAAACTCGGGAAAGCTGAGCCCAGCCAACTCTGCTGAACAAGGAAGGGTGCGGAGAGATGTGGCGGGGCCCGTCGGAGGGAACGCATTAGGCGCTCTCCCCCTCATCACCACCCCCCATCAATCCGCTTTTCTGCAACCCCAGCGCCGCCATCCTGTTCCTGAATAATTAAACGGGCTGGAGAGAGAGTGAGGTGGCCAGAAGGGCAGCTTCGGGTCCGAGTTTCCCGAGCCGGGCGATGCGGCCGGCGAGGCCGAGCGCTGCGTTCCCGGCACGCAGAGGACTTTCTCCCGCGGTGGGAGGGCAGGGCGACCCCCGCAGCCGGCGGGGCAGCCGGAAGCGGAGCGCGGGGGTGACGTGGAGCTGCAGATGACAAAGGGTGCGGGGGCCGCGCGGCCGCGGGGGTCGGGACAGGTGGCCGGGCCTGGCCGGGAACAATGGGGGGGCCAAGGCTGCCCCCTGGCGCTCACCTACCTCCGGTGCCCTCCGAGTTCTCGTTGAGGCTGCCCGAGGAGTCGTGCTGGGCGCCCACACACCCGCCCATGGGGGCCCCCGACGCCTCGTCCGCCGCCTCTGGGCGCTCGTCAGTGCACGCTGCCGCCTCAGCCTCTTCAGGGGCCGCCGAGCTCGGGACAGGCGCGCCGCTCCTCTCACCCGCCGCGGCCCAGCCTCCGCCCCCTCCGCCGCTCCACCCACCGCCTTGGCTCGGCCCCTTCCTCCGCGCCCACTTCTACCTCAGCCCCCGGGCCGCCCGCCCTGCAGGCCTGGCCCGCGCGCCGCCCGCGCCTCCGGCTCGGCCCCGCGGGGCCGGGGTTGGCCCATGCCAGGCGGGCCACAGTGCCCGCCTCGCCTCCTCACAACCCCACACACCCGCCTCTCGGCGAGCTGGGCGCCGCCGCCCCCAGTCCGCCAGGCCCCATCGGCCCCCGCCCCGCGGCGCCGCCCTCCGCACCCGAGTTCGGCCTGGGCTTGGCCCGCCCCGCCCCAAACGGCCCAGGAGGGGCGGGGCTGTGGAAGGCCTCGCGCTGATTGGCTGCGGTAGCAGAGAGGGGTGGGGCGGGGAAAGGGGGGAAGGAGCCCCTCGGGAGAGGAGTACTGGGGTCCGTTGGGGGAGGGAGGGGAGGAAGCCAGAAGGGACAGGAAAGGAGGAGACGAAGGGAAAAAAGGAAAGAAGAGGGAGAGGAATCTGGCGAAAAGGAAGGAAAGTGGGAAGCGGGAAATAGAGTTTCTGGCTTCTGCTCGGCTGTCCCCTCTTTCTGGTGGAAGCAATCGGAGGGGGCACTTAGAAGTAATTAAAGACTCACAGTCGGGCACTGGACAGTTTCCTAAATAACGGGGTGGGCGGTGTTGTCTGCTGAGCGTTAAGGTCCCGGCGCCCCTCCAATTGGTTCGAGCTTAGTGGGACTGTACTCTTGAGTTTGGGCTTCCTCTTGTCTGCCCGTCGTCATTTCTCCCAAAATCACTGTGCCTCTTTACTAGCGGTGGAGGTGGCTCTGTGGTTGCAAGCTGAACTCTGATTACAAGGTGGAGGCGTCCTGGGGAGGGAGAGATAGGCGCTCCTCCTGGTCCTGGAGGAAGAAATCGTTTCATTTTCACTGGATTTATTATTCAGGCAATCCCACATCTCAAATCCAGTCTTTACATATTTTAAGTAAGCTTTAAAACAAAGTGAAGTATTATCCTGCTTATCCTAAACTAGAATTTAGTATATTGAGCATGCCCAACATTTTCGGCGATTACTATCTCAACCTAAGCCAAATTGTTAATGGTTCCTTTTAGAATTGTACTTCTTGGACAATTATACTGATGATGATTATATGTGATTAGTTCCAAGTATAGGACAACTTAGTAGAAAGGCCTTCTTACGTTGGGAACAAAGAAATCACTCCTATTCTCATTGGCCTAACTGTATTAAATACTTGGGATGGACATTCTCTCTCCCCAAGTATGTATACATACCATAACTTCACAGATCAAAGACTGGTTTGCAACAGACTGGTTTAATTGCCCTGGAATTAGATGGGAAGCTTCCAGTGGCACTCATTGGTCCTGTGGAACCAATTTGTGACCCTGGCTACCTCCTGGATAGATAAGGAGATACACTCTGGGACTTGTGTGGTTACGTAGCAGGAGTGTCAAAAATATTGACGAACCTGCAAACTTATGCTGTCTATAACACCAGTGTGTTTCAGTAGTATGATCATTTGGCTTCTTTATTCCTTCCCTAGGATTAAAGGATGTCATACAACACATAGAGGCTTTAACTAACTATATTCAATGTGTCTCAAATGACACCTTGACTGGTCTGTCTCTCCCAAATGAAGTAAAACTGAGACAAGCTGTCCTCCAAAATGGGATGGTGTTAGTCTAATAGCAGAAAAAGAGGTTACTTGTGCAATTGTACAAGCTGTGTGTACCTTCCTGATTTTTTTTTTTTTTTGCTAATATCTTGATGGCTGTTCAAGATATTAAGCAACAGGTTAATACCATGTCGAATTTTGAAATTCCCTGGACTACCTTCTCTTTGTGGGAGGCTATTACTGGCTTTGCTGGTTGCAGATATTTGTTGGTTATATTCATAATAGTCTTGTTGATGTTAGTATTTGGCCCATGCATACTTAACTAGTCCTTTGTCTCCTTCAGACTTAAAGCATTACTCCTACCCAAGATGAGAAGGTCTGGCATCTTATCAAAGGCCTTTAGATAGACCCTCTGTGAAGTATCTCTGACTGATGATCACAACTACAACCCCCTTCAGCTGGGGGTGGCCAGAATTGACATTGCCCCTTTCCCCCTCTTGGCAGTTAGGGATACCTCTTCAGAGAGGAGAATACTATAGAAAGTTAAGTTAGGTAGAAATATTATAGGCAGTTAGACAGGGCTAGGCCCTCAAAGGAGTCGGTGCAAAAGAACATAATACATTACAACTGTGGCTGGAGGTGCATTCGTTGAAGGCCAGGCCTTGAGATAAATAGGGAATGATTAGACCTACATACCTTCCTGAGGAACAAAAATATACTATAATATCACCTGGTCCAAAAAAGTCTAGCTAGACATCAGTCACCCATCTGGATAATCAGGACCTCCTGACTCTTCTCTTTCCCAAAAGGTCCTTATTCTTTCCATGTATACTTGTTGTGTGACCTGCTTCCCCACTGATTAACGTTACGTAGGCAGCTATACTTGTATTCATATTGGTTGATCATAGTTTTGTCCCACATTTTACTCACCTTGTGATACTGTACTCGCCTCATGATTTTGCTCTATAAAACTGTCTTTGAGAAATGGGCTCATTGGCAACCCATTTTTGGGTCCTTTCCTGTCTCTCAGGAGTTATCACTCCCAATAAAGTTTTCTGACTCTTAAAAAAAAATAGAACTGTGCTTCTTGCCATGATGCTTCAAAATTTCATCATCCGTTTTAGGCCTTTCTTAAAGCTTATTTCTGCCTAAGAGCTGTTTTAATATCTGCTCCACTTTTATACCAGAATTTCTTTTTTTAACTTCCTGGGTCAGCTTTTGCGTAGCATTAAAAATTTTTTTTTAAGTGAAATACCTAGCAAAAAGATGTTCTGCAGTTGGGGATTTGCATTTAAATATATTCTCATACACTACTAGTGGCAGTGTAAATTGGTTCAGTCTTTTTGCAAAGCAATTTGTCAGTGTGGATCAAGAGCTTTAAAAAATGTTGATACCCTTTACTCAGGAATATTCCACATCTAGGAATCTAGCTCACAGAAATAGTCTAAAATGCAAAGATTCACATCTCCATGTTTATTTGATAATCAGATAGAAATGAGGGTTAAATAAACCCTGAATGTCTGTGAAAACACAGAAATTTCTTCTGAAGAGTAGAAGCGTGTTGTAGAAGTCTGTTATATCAGGCTTAGACTGAAAAATTGTTAAAACATTGTTCTCAGCTTTCAAAAATAACTTACAACTGATGCTTTTAAGGGTTTTGGGAAGTTGCTCTGAGAACAGAAGCTGTGTCACAAAACGTTCTTTCTGGGGCTGGGGATTTAGCTCAGCGGCATAAGTGCCTGCCTTGCAAGTATGTGGTCGTGAGTTCGATCCCTAGTACGGTAAAAAAAAAAAAAAAATTTCTTTCTGATCATTCTTGGCTGATGCGGTAGATGAACTAATAGTCACCTTAATAGCACTGTGATGGCCTGAGTCAGTATGGCTCTGGGTGTGGAAGGCCTGATCCTGATGATTGTTGCCAACAGCATAAAAGGAAAGCTGGAGGAGAAAATGGTGCTGTTGATTCTCCTGGAGAAATTTGTCATGCTGGTTTTCCTGATATGAACTCAGGTGTTCTCATCGTTGGAGCTTGGGTCCTTGCTGTCACTGAGGATAGCTGTGATTCTCTTCAGGAGAGCTCTGGTCCTTGCCTTGAGCGTCACTTCCTGGCTCCAGTGCAGACCCTCAGCCTGCTGGCACAGATCCTTCATCCCTCTGGCATAGACTTTGTAGCTTCCACCACTGACCTTTGGGCCTTCCCAGTGCAGATCCTTGATAGAGACTTGTGTGAGAAATTGTCACAGGCTCTAGGCCTCTAGCTGGACTCGTGGAGGACACTGCCATTGGATCAGGCCCTCAGCTGATCCTTTGGGTCTCTAGTGCTTAGGACAGACCTCCTGCACTTTTCTGCATTTGACTCTTTGGGTGAATATTATAATTTAATCCTACAGATTATGGTCCTGTATTAAATCTATTCCCTCTGAAGCCCTGGATACAATGCCTGAATATCCACATTGGTAGACATCATTTCCTCCCTTCCCCAAAGGAAAGAAGGCTTATGCCAGCTATTTACAAAGGGATTGCTTTGTCCTGAATTTTCCTCTCAAAATAGCAAAAACCAAGACTTCTATGATGACTATTAAACAGATTGTAGACACCCAAATGATGAAGGCTTTCTGCTGTACAATGAGGAGCTGGCACTAGGGGAAAGAGCAGGCTCCTGGAAAGCTTCTCAGCAATGAATGCTCTCCACTCTGCCTTAATCTCAGAGCAGAGACGTGTTCCTGCCAGGAGAGTCTCATAGCAGGAGGCCCTGGCTGTGCTATTAAAGTCCTGTATGGGAATGTGCCTTTCATCCTGTACTAGCTACATGACCAAAACTTTCTGTAGAACTGTTTATCAAACTGGGCCCATAATAATGCTCTAAGTTTTGTAAGAACTCTTTATTAACTCTTCATATTTAAAATTACCTATCTGAAGTTACTGCATGGCCCAAAGCATGGAACTCAAGAACAAAGCCTTCTCTTTGTCTCTGTGGACATACATGTGCTTTTAATTTACAATGTCTTTATGAATATAAGATTCATATGTATTTCACCAACTTAAATTGTGTGATTCAATCGTTTTTAATACTTTCATTGCCCATTAGCTTTGATATTTTAATTACTCCAAGAAGACACCCTTTTCCCATCATCAGTCATTCCCCATTTTCTACCAACACCCATCGTTAGCTCTTGACAAACCAAAAAATCTACTTTCTGTCTGTATAGATTCATCTCTTGTAGATATTTCATTAAATGCCATCATCTAATTGATGTGATTTGGTGACTGGCTTCTTTAACATAGTATGTTTTCCAGGTTCATTTATTTTGCAACATGTAGCAGTGCTTCATTCCTTTTTAATGGCTGGATAACATTCCATTATATGGATATACTACATTTGTGTATCCCTTGATCAGACAAGGGCATTTTGTTGTTTCCACTTTTAGGGCACTTCTAAAGTGGCTATGAATGTTTATTTACAGATTTTTATATTGATGTATGTTTTTAGTTGTCACATATGGTTTTTTTTTTCACATATGTTTTTAGTTGCCTTGGATATATCCCAAAAAATGGAATTGCTTCATCTGTGGTAAAGTGTCTTCTGAAGTGGCTACCATATTTTACATTTTCACCAGCAATTTATGAAGGTTCTAATTTACCTGC